GTCTGATTAGCAGGCAAGTGTCTTAGCCACTATGCTACCAGAGTATAAACTCCAAATAAATAGAGACTATGGTAGGTAGAAGTATAACCCTTCAAAGATGGTCACTTCTTAATTCCTGGAATGAGTAAACATGTTACCTTACATAACAAAGGGTCTTTGCAGCTGTCACTAAGGTTCCAGGCCTTTAGATGTGGAGATTATTCTGCTTTATCCTTGTGGATAATACCCAATCTAACCACTTAAGAGTTCCCAGTTATAGAGAAACATAGCAACAACTAAGGACTCAGCTCACCATATTTAGCTTTGAAGATACAGAAGGGGAAAGACAAGTCAAGAAATGCAGGCATCCTCAAGAAGATGAAAAATGCAAGGAAACAGGTTCTTCTCTAAAACACAGGAATACAGCTCTGCCAACACCTTGCTCTTAGTCTGGTGAGATCTGTGTTAAACTCCTGTCCTACAGAACCTTAAGATAATAAATGTGCATTGCATTAGCCACCAATTTTGTGGTCTGTTAGTGCATCAATAAAAAGCTAATACAGAGAGAAAAGAAAAGGACAATTGAAGAGAGGAAAAACACCTCAAGAAATGCAAAAAAGGCAAGGAGAAAGAAAAAATAGAAAAGCAGTAAAATAGTAGAAAAGTACAAAAAAGGTCAATAACATAATATATGTAAATTTACATGTCCTAACCATACTAATGAAAATTAAAGAGATTTTCAGATTTAGTTAGGGTTTTTCATTTATTTGTTGGTGTTTTTTTTTTTTTTTTTAAGTGCTATATTTTATTGCTGGGAGCACTGATAGTATAGTGCCTAAGGCACTTGACTGCTACCCAGAAAGCCGGTGGTTCAAACTCACCAGCCACTCCTCGGAAGGAAGGTTGGGCAATCTACTTCCCTAGTGATACTGCCTCAGAAAACCAAGTAGGGGTCGCTATGAGGCAGGTCCCACTCCACAGCACATAACAACAACAACATATTCTATCGAGCTCTGGTGGTGCAGTGCCTAAGGCATTTGACTGTTAACCAAGAGGCTGGTGGTTCAAACCCACCAGCCACTCCTCGGAAGGAAGATTAGGCAATCTACTTCCATAGTGATACTGCC